GAAATAGTAGTAGGCTCTTACCCTTTGCAGAATATCCACTAGAGGGCGCACATGTAGCACTGAGCCAGTGGCTTATACCAGTGTTATAGGAGCCCAGAAAAGGCTAGCTCTTGGGGGAACAGCAAGGCAGGCATGGAGAGGAGAAGAAGCCTGTGGCTTCCCCTCCAGCCATTCAACCACACTCCAGTTCATGCTCTTCTGGGCTGGCAGCATCAAAACTTGGCAATGTAGGTCAAATCAGGGATGCTTTCAGGTCAGTTCTAGAGCAGGCCAACCCCTGAATCCTTTCAGATTTGCCCCATCCCAATCAATGTCACAGCAAAACTAGACGGTCTGTGATTTAACTTCCCAGGTGACTTGGATGAAGATTTCATGTCCGATGACGATATCACCTCAAGGAGCCAGTTTCTAGAGAGTTGGTTGTGGCAAGTGGAGCAGCTGACTGAGAGACCAAATGAACTGGGGTAAGAGCCTGTGGCCGTGTCACTCCCACTCATCAAAGGGCCACATTCAGACGTGGTATGGTGTAGCTCCCACTCAAGTCAGTATCTCTCCACCAACAAGATCCCCAGTGCAGACAACTGGAGTATTTGTCATGAATTATGGCTGGAATTCAGAAGCTGATCCATATTCATAGAGTCACTCCTAGATTTTAAGGCCAGAAGGGGCCATTAGATCATCTAGTCTCAACTCCTGTGTAACAGAGACCAGAGAATTTCATTCAGTTACTCCAGTTTTGAGCCCATATTTAGGTACCTAAAAGAACTGGCCCAACTTCCAGAGGTGCTGAGCAGCGAGCGGTATCCCCTGGCTTCAACCCTAATGAAAAATCAGGCTGCTGATTTAGGTGCCAAAATATGGATGTAGGTGTCTGGCTGTTTAGCGTTGGCCTTTTATCCTGTTTGGGAACCATTCCTCATTTGTGTTTGTTATTCAGGGTGTGTTATTGGGTTGTTGAGTCATGTGATATTGATGGTGCTTTCTAACTGCATGGCTGAACCTCTTTTTAAAAAAAATGGTAAATGAAACTCTGGGCCAGGCCCCTCTCCACTGGAATGGGATATAATTCCCCTGCTTGGATAGCTCAGTGGTTTGAGCATTGGCCTGCTAAACCCAGGGTTGTGAGTTTAATCCTTGAGGGGGCCATTTAGGGAACTGGGGTAAAAACCTGTCTGGGGATTAGTCCTGCTTTGAGCAGGGGGTTGGACTAGATGACCTCCTGAGGTCCCTTCTAACCCTGATATTCTATGATTAATTGAATTAGACCAGGACACTACAATTAATATCCTTACCCTTGAGACCTTTAAAGGAGGATCTAGACCCTTAGCTGGGGAATGTCCATGAGTCCTAGCTCCTTCCTTCTATAAAAGACTCTGTCTTTCTCTTTCCATATAGAATTTCTTCCAAGACAGTGCCTATTTCCCTGAAGGATTCCATCACCACCTGGGAAGTCCTGGCTGTGAGCCTTTCAGAGACCAAAGGTGGGGAACACAATGAGCGTTCCAGACAACAGGCAGAAAAGCCAATGGGGAAAAGACCCCAGGCCACAATGGGCCTTGGAAAGGTCACAGTGAGATAGAACAATTGAGGAGACAACAGACACATTTCAGGACTAAAGTATAAGCCCCCCTGTCTCTGACCCTGGGTCTTTCCCCATTGCAGGGATCTGTGTGGCTGACCCCTATGAGATAAAAGTAATGAAAGATTTTTTCATTGACCTCCGGCTGCCCTCCTCTGTAGTGAGGAATGAGCAGGTGGAAATCCGGGCTATTCTCTACAACTATCAGGACCAAACAATTAAGGTAAGCTCACCGCCTCATCGGGCTCTGCAATGGACCTGAGGTGTCAATGCTTTGACAGACAGCGAAACCAAAACAGAATGGTGGAAGGCTTGTTCTTCTAGGGCTTGATCCCGTTGGGGCTGGACACCCTGGTCTCTCATTGACCTTGTTGAGTGCTCAGCACCTTGCAGGATCAGGGCTATGGAATCCACCCAGTTAAGAACATAAGAACGGCCAGACTGGGTCAGACCAATGGTCCATCTAGCCCAGTATCCTGTGTTCTGACAGGGGCCAGTGCCAGGTGCTTCAGAGGGAATGAACAGAACAGGTAATCATCAAGTGATCCATCCCCTGTTGCCTATTCCCAGCTTCTGGCAAGATTGCATGATATAGAGGGAAGTAAATAAATACCCTTCTGTCTGCCATTCTTCTCTGGCTGGGCCTCAAATCTGTGAGTAGGTACCAGGCTCAGAGCTTTCAGCTGACTCACACCGGTAGCCAGACCAGGTGGGTCTCATTACTTCCACTCAGGAACACCACAGGCTGAGGGCCTCTCTGAGGCAGGACAGAACTAGAATGAGTCGTGAAGGGCCTCTCAGGAAGGAGGTCAGGATATAGTCATGTGCTTTGTAAGTACAGTCCTATCTGTTATTTATTAAGATTAAAGGCAAACTCCAGTCAGAGGGTACATTTTGGATCAATGCCCTACAGTGTCATGGTGTGCAGACTGCCTGCTCATGAATCTCTGTTCTCTTCTCAGGTCCGGCTGGAGCTGCTGCACAACCCAGTTTTCTGCAGCGCATCCACTTCCAAGGCTAAATACCGGCAGATCCTTGACATCAAAGCCAAGTCCTCCCTGGCCGTGCCATTAGTGATTGTTCCTTTGCAGCTGGGATCTCACTACATTGAGGTCAAGGCAGCAGTGTGGGGCAGTTTTGTGTCTGATGGCATGAGGAAGAAACTGAAGGTTGTGGTAGGTATCAGGTGACGGGGGGAGTGGGGGGCATGTCTGCTGGATGGCAAGAGGCTGGAGGCCAGATTGGCTGGCTTCTGGAATCGGTGCTGTCCCTTAACCTGTTAAATTAACACCCTGCATCTCCATCCTCGTCTCACTTCCTCCCCTCCCTGGTGGCAGCTACAGCAGGGCTGGGGCTGGCCTGGTTATCTTGCACTCGATCCTCTGAGCCGTCATATAAGAGACCTAGGTTCAGTTCCTCAGGCCCAGGGTCTTGCTCCTTGGACCAGTGGGTGCTGGAATCAATGCACCCAGGAAGAACCTCATATCACTCGGCAGAGAGAGCTGAGCAAAGGAGCAGCATTGGTGGGTTGTGCTGGGCGTCCCATTGGCCTGTCCCAGGAGATAACTGTAATGCTGGGTGAGAGGAAGATCCTCCACTGAAGATCAGGGCATAGAAAAGTCCTTGAGGGAGGTCACAGAGCAATGATAGAATGAATTGAGCTTCTCACTTCCTCGCCCTGCCAGACTCTGTAGTCCAGATTCATAAGAATGGCCATACTGAGTCAGACCAAAGTCCATCTAGCCCAGTATCCTGTTCTTAAGGCTAAATTCCACTCTGGCACTTCTAGTGCAGAAGGTGGGGGCCCGCAAGGATTCTAAAAATTAATACCTGCCACTCCAGGCTTGTATTAAACTCCCAAAGTTACAGGTTTTCTCTGACCTTGGCTTGGTAAACGCTGCCACCACCTAAATGCAAAAAAGCCCCCTTGAACTCGGGAAGGAACATTTGGGAATTCCTCCCTGTGGGGTACTCTCAAGCCCTTTCACCCCTCTTCCCCCTTCCCCCCTCGGGAAGAGTTGAGAAAAAAAACAAAGGAAATTAGTTGTAGCCACCAGCTAATCAAACAGCAGAAGCACAAACCTCTTAGGACACAAAAATCCAAATACTTCTTAAAAAACAGTAAATTTTATTAAAAACAAAAGGAAGAAAATACATCTGGAATTTAGGCTTTTGCTAGATTTTAAAAGAGCAATTCCAAAAATTAAGCACCCAAACTAGCTTTCTTGGGGGTGCAGCTTAAAGGTTACAAACAAACAAAAGCATCAGGGTTTAGCACAGAGGAGATCCACAAGCCAAAATTAGAAATAAACTTGATTGTGTCTAACTAAACATTCCCTATCCAAATAATTTCTTCTAGGTATGGAAGATACTTTTTC